CCTGTGCCCACAGCTATTTTTGGATGATAAAACATTTGTATCAGGTCAACTAACCATGGGCATAGTAACAATATTTATTATTCTAATTTTATACATTTTAGGCAACTAAGGAAAAAAATGTAATTAATTTAGAAAATATTTTCAGGACCCCAACTTGATGTTTCAGGACCCCACTTTGGGTCCCGACCCCAACTTTGGGAGCCACTGTATTAAAGAATCAGACAGGTGAGAGGACAGGTACAGGTGTTTTTTAAGGATAAAACAGTTGACAGTGGACAGATATAGTTGTGTTAAAGGATCAGACAGGTGAAAGTGGAAAGGTAAGGACAGTGACCATCACATAAGTCAAATAAAAATCCAAGTTTCCCCTCGTAGCAAAAGGCAGTAAGTACTCTAACAGTCATCTGTAAACATATGAAGCTGCAGTTAGGTGCAGTGGTAGCCAACATATTGAACAGAATTCCATACTAAGGGGCCAGCCCCTTGTTCTAGTTTGTTTTTATTCTTTGACTGTTTTTTTTTTATTTTTAATGTATTTCTTCTGATATTTCAATTATGTTCATTTTTCTTCTGGTGGTTTTGACATGGTTTTTATTTTAAACCTCAGGTACTTTTCGTAAGGTGTTAGGGGTTTTTCTGACCCACATCAGAACGTCCGGTGGCACCTCTGTGCTGTGGTGTCAGAACACACGTCAGCCCCTTTCCCCACAACAACAGGACAAACTGGTAACATGTTAACTTCTGATTGTTCTGTAWGGTCCAGTTCTATTAAAGAGTGGGATCAGACAGAACCACAGAGTCACCCAGACCCAGAACCAGATCCAGTTGCTAACTTGACCTTCAGCTGATGGACAAGTTCTGACAGAACCCTTCCGCTTCAGGTGAGGTCACATGACCAGGAGTCCTGTAGACTGCAGGGTTTGGATCAGAACAATCCACAATAATCATAAACGTTAAGTTAAACTAATTATAAATAAATCAAACTTATTTCATTGATACTACAAATAAGATCTTCCTATCAGATTATGACAAAAAAAGCTGTATTCAGTCAGTCAGGAGCCAGCATTGATTAAGTCTTCAGTTGGTGTTCAGCTTTCAGACAAACTGATCAGTAAATATCTGATCAGACTGGATCAATAAGAGCAGAATTCTGATCAGATCGACCAGCTGACTGATCAGAAGTTTTATTAGGTATTTAATAAACTCACCTCAGCTGCTAATCCTCATCCACTCATCAGTCTGCCTGAAGATCACTCACTCAGACCCTTGACCTGCTGTCACATGTCCTAATCAGCTGCTTCCTGTTGCCTTCACAATAAAACTGACCCTTTGTTTGTTTTATCTGTGGTCCTGTGGCCCAACAGATCAATACATCTACAACGTTTAGACCTTTACTATCAACATCATCACCTGAGTCAACAGACACATTTTATCTCAACACATCACTTCCTGAATGAGCAATCAGAAAGCCTTTCACAGTAAAAGCCTCCTGACCTCCCTCTGTTGTCTCTCCAGTTCCTTCATCCGGATCTCCCGGGCCTCGGCTCTCGCTGCTCGCTTTGCCGCCAACCTGGCCTCCGCCTGCGGACACATCCATCAGAGATTATTAATCTAAACTATCATCCATGAGCAGGAATTAATTCCATTCAATTCAATTCAAAAAAATTACTGATCCCAGAGGGAAATTAGGTGTTGTTGTAACTCATTTAACTAAAAACTTATTGTAGATGCTGATGGCTGTGGGCAGGAAGGATCTTCTGGTCTGTATTACAGCGAAGTTGAAGAAGCCTCCGACTGAAGACACTCTGT